ACACACATTTCACGGGAGAATGTTTGATATTACATCTTTTATCCTGTCCTTGAGTTCTTCAATGTCCTCTAACTTATTTGCTATACACGCAATCCTTTATTATTCCTCATAACCAGGAGTCACAGGGTGTAATTGGCCAATATTTCTTTACAACTCCAAAGGTGACTGCAAAAGTTTGCCATTGATAATATAATCCTACAAATCAGACGAGCAGAGTATTTCCAACAAGAAGGTGCACCGCCTCATTTTGCCGTACTGTTCGAACTTGCCTCGATCAAAGTTTCCCAAATCGTTGGATAGGTCACGATGGACCGTTGACATGGTCACCCACACTACCCTGATCTGACACACTGTGTTAATCGCTGAAGTGAGTTCGACACCCAATAGGTGTCCGAGGCAAATGCCTACATTGTCAATATGACCGTTCATCTGGATTGGAACAGATTTGCGGTTTTCTCGGTGTTGAATGAAACGTTATTAGCTTTGATTTGAAGAATAATGAAAAGATATTGAAAAGCCAGTCTTTTCCCCATTTTATTGCCAGGCACTTGTCATCCATGATATTTATATTTGTACCAATACAACATGTGACTAATTATTCTTTAATAGATATACAGGTTGAGTCAAAATTTTGTTAACACTAGTATGAGAGGAATCATTTATTCAGTGTTTACAAAACAGTCTCCACCTGTCCACCAGCACGATTGATGCACAAAACTCAGCGATCAACAGTACAATATAGTACCTTGACACATATTTCACGGGGGAATATTTGATATTACATCTTTTATCCTGTCCTTAAGTTCCTTCGATGTCTCTGACTTATTTGCTATTCATACGATCCTTTATCATACCCCATAAGCAGAAGTCACGGGGTGTCAGATCAGGGGAGTGTGCTAGTACAGGCAAAATGAGGCTGCGCAACATCTTATTGGGAATACCCTGCACGTCTGATTTGTAGGTGTATGTTATCAATGGCAAACTCTAGCAGTATTTGTAAGTAAGCATTTGCAGTCACAGTTGGAGTTGTAAAGAAATATGGGCCAGTTACACCCTGTGATTTCTGGTTATGCTGCAGACACCATAATACCTCAGAGTCTCTATGTAGTTCTAACTAGTGTCTATATGTACAATTTTTCTTTGAGGCGGTGGATGAAATAGCCACATTTAAAAATGAAACCCAATTAATATTTACAATGAATACAATTTATATACAAGAAACTAAAATAAAACCCGCCACAATCCTTAATTGTGGCAGAAAAATCAGCTAATTGGAGGAAATTAATGCAGGACTAGGTAATTAATAAGAATTATTTGACCAAACACTTGCTCAAACACACACTCATCCGGATACAAAATTAAATACGAGACACACAGTCGAAAATGAAAGGGAACTGACATCTCTGTCATCTAACAGGAGAGGGAAGGGGGAAAAGAGGAAAGCCCATCAGAATAATAACTATGAAAATACCAGATTATGTTGTATGAGAGGAATCGTTTACTGAACAGTCTTCACCTGTCCACTAGTACGATTGATGCACAAAACTCAGCGATCAACAGTACAATATAGTGCTTTGACACACATTTCACGGGGGAATATTTGATATTACATCTTTTATCCTGTCCTTGAGTTCTTCGATGTCTCTGACTTATTTGCTATTCATACGATCCTTTATCATACCCCATAACTCACTTTGTATTACGGCAGAAGTGTCTTAAGAAAAAAAAATCGATGAATTTTTACAAAAATTGTTTTCATTTAAAAAATAATTAATTAGAATAATTTATAAAGTTTCAAATATTTCATATTTGTGTAGTAATTTGTACCGGTTAGTTCATATTATTAAGTATAAACTATATTTACTAATGACAAATGGAAAAGCTTACTACATCGACATCCAAAATTTATTTATTTATTTTTTATTTATTTTTTGGTAAATACATATGTTTATACACGACATTATCAGAAAATAAGAGCGATAACAATAGTAAATTTAAATCAAAACTACCTAAAAATTCAATAAAACATTAGATTACGAAGAATATTTTCTTAAATTTTAAAGATCACGTTATATTCCTCAAGTAATTTTTACAGATAGATTCGCCATAGAAAAAAAAATTAACTTCTGTCAGACAACCTGTCAATACCTTAAACAAACACCATGTAAAGAAAATGCATTTCTGCGAGATTTTAAACTTAAAGTAAATAACCATATTAGATCGTATCAAATTATGTTAATTAAATTATAAATCAGGTAATATTCATCAAATGAAGAATCAGAAAAGTATGTTTTACATTGTGCAGACAGATGGCTAAGAATGGCGCTAAAATTAGCGATTTTATTGATTTCAAAACAAAATCTGTTTCCAGTAAATTTAAATTACTTTTGAAATGCAGTAAATTATCTTGCTTATTGGAAATATCAAATTTAATATATTAGAATTAAATTAAAAGTAAACTAAAAACTTCAAGAAAGATTTTTCATTTTTAAAAATTCAT